ATTTGGAACTAACTAAAACTCAAGAAGCTGGTGAATTTCAGCGAAAACTTAACGCATTTATTGTACGTAGAGGAAGACCTCGCTTGATGATTTCCGATAATGCTGCTACTTTCAAAGCGACTGCAAAGTGGACTAAGCTAATTCGAAAAAGTGAGAAGCTTCAGGATTTCCTCGCAACCCAAGATATCTATTGGAGATTTAATCTGGCAAAGTCCCCATGGTGGGGAGGCATCTACGAGAGGCTGATTCGTGAAATCAAGAAAACCTTATACAAAACCTTGGGAAAATCACACCTATTCTTTGAAGGTTTGGAATCGGTCGTATTGAACATCGAAAGCAACATGAACAACCGTCCGTTAACTTACGTAGAATGTGATGGTGGGGAGGAACAAGTCCTGACGCCAAACATACTTATTCGGGGGGAAAACTCTTACATGTTCGACGATGTTGAAGATGAAGAAGACGAGCTAACCAAGATGCAAAGAAGACTTAGAAAAGCAAAAGATGATGCATGGAAACGATGGAAGCGGGAATATGTGCATAGTTTACTGGAGAGCCAACGAGTCAATAACAAGGTTGTCGAAGTACCACAGATTGGAGACGTTGTCCTGGTAGTGGGAGAAGAACAGGGGAGAATGGAAAAAAGGGAAAGTGCTTCGACAAGTTCGTGGAAAAGACGGTGTAGTCAGAGGAGTTGTGCTGTTGCACAAAGGGCATACTATTGAACGACCACTGCAGTTGATCTGTCCGCTTGAGATTCACTGCACACCAAACAAACGACACAAAGAAGTTGAAGAAAAGGAATCGGAGAAAGAAAAGAGACCTCAGAGACAAGCCGCAAAGAAAGCAATCAAGAAAATAAATGAACTAACGCAGTTGGAAGAGGACTGAACATTTAATATATACGTTGATATTCGGTTTTGAAGCTATAAAAATTAAACTTTAATTTTTAGGGGAGTGTGTACGGAATAGTGGACCCCCCCCATATAAGTGACGTAAGCATGATTGACGTTTGCATAAAAGAAACATTAAGAGCATGTTGATGGGGGGTCGTTTATTATTAGATTATGTGAGACGAGACAAAAAAAAACAAGTGATTTGTGAGCGTGAGAATTCTATATTTTTATACAAATAAATGTAATTTGTCTTTGTGATTTCTGTGGTTGTATACCTGTTAACAATTTAACAAGAGAAGTTCGGTATATTCTTTAAGCTCCTTAAAAACTCACAACAAGCTGGGAGTAGACTTGGTGACTAATCATAGGGCCTTCTTAATTGATAGCTATATAGTATATACAGTATTTAAACGACCTCGAATACTTGACGGAAATTCAATCTGGAAGTTGCAGACCAAACTGCAAAGTTTGGAAATTGCACGCAGAAGATTTCGAAAATTTAATAGTAAATATATAGAAAGAATAGTAAATATATAGAAAGCATAAAAAATGCGCGCGGAAGATCTTCCGAGCGCGGTGGAGAAAATGCAGTCTGGGTTGCAGAAGACCGGTAACTCAAATGCATGCATGATGCGGAATTTGTCTTGTATTTATAGTTTAGGTATATTGAAGCCCGGCTGTACGTTTTTTTTTTAACACTAATGTTTTTTAACACTTGTCAGTGTTAAATTCCCCGCTATGTCCCGGGGGTGGGGGGCCCCGTGGTTTCAAATGACTAAAGCATTATGAAATAAATAACATTTTATGCAATAAATCTAGTGTTAGTTCGCTAGCTATGCCTGCTTGTGTCAAAAAAGTAGTTAAAAAATGAAATATATCAGACATACCATAGAAGCAAAATGATGTGATATACTGTCCTTGGTTGAATCTCGCCACTTTTGAACTCAGAACGCCTTTAACAGACATTCCCAAAGCAAATTTCAGATAGAAACTAACAGATATAAAAGTTATAAGCACGATATTCATAATTACAAGCCTTTTTCTCTAAATTATCACATAAAAACCATTTAAAATAGAATCTTTCGCAACAACTTTGAGCCTTTTTCGTACGCCATGTTGAATAGACTATTGTGTGTACGTGGCATAAGGCTACAAATGTATACAATTTCTTTCTATCAACTAATGTACCTCCGAGTCCTTTTTAACCAATTCTACCCCTCAGACAAACATGGATGGCTATTTTAAAAATATCTTCAAGTTTTTTTAAACAAAATCCGCGGGAAAGTAACCGATAGTGAAGGGTTGGCAGCATTTACGGTAAGAAAAATTGGTATATCGTACTTTGATATAAAAGTAGCTTAAAATTTATACTCTCATTTTATCTGTATTTGCAATTTTGCACCACAACCTGGCAAGGGCTGGGATTGGGAAGACCTGTGGGAAGACTGATCATCCTCAAGCCTCAGCCCACTTCATCCAAATCACCAGTCATCAGCGGAAACTTTGTTGTTAATTTTTGGTGCGCCGATCAGCTGATGATGTACTTCAGGTTCAGACCTCACTGGATTGAGATTTCGAAAATTTAATAGGGCCATATAGAAAGCTAGCATAAAAATGTTGTTCAACGTGGGTCAGGAAAATTACAAAGCTCATGAATGTAATTTCCCCGACCCCCACTAGTAACTCCAAACCACAGAGTAGAGACATACAGAGACGTAACTGACCATTGTAAACGTTTGAAAATTAAAGTTTGAAAAAGAACAAGTTATCCTTGAACAATCGAATTTAACTAAACCTGTTTGCGCTAGACTATAGTATAGCGGTAAAAAATGGTAATGTGATTTTGTTGTGCTTAATTTTTGCAATAATTTTCACTAAAATATCTTGAAAATCATAATCTAAAATTTTTATTTAAAGCATAAAAAGCATATACATTGACAATGACCGCAAAACTCAAAGTTGTAAACAATTTGAACTTTGTGACTGCATGACATAAAACTGACATCAACTCTAGATATTTTCGGCCTGGTCGTGTAATTTTGAAAACGGGTATAATACACAAGATAAAAAGTGTCTCTCGTGTAAGGAAACATTTGTTTCAAAAGTAGGAGCGAAATCAAGTCTCCTTTTTCGAATCGTCCAAATTTTAAAAATCACTGGAAATTCAGACTGATATAAATTTCTTGTAATCTTGTTATTGAAGCAGTTATTAATAGACACCGTTATTTTAATAATTGACAAGATGACATAGTGTTATTGTGTGGATCGACACGAATTCAGATTCTGTGATTGTCTAGCAGATGGAATCTTTGTTTGCATGTGTTAAAGATTACATATTTTGTTAAAAAGATTTGCAACAATAAAGGAAGAAATATTCAAAATATTGATGAGACAAAACGGTCGGCCATAATGTCCCTGCAGAGTAATCAGTAGACGGCCATATCAGTATTTTGCTCGGCTAATGGCTGGTGGCCGACCGTTATATTGATGCTATATACTTAATATATACTTTATTAGTTTTAGTCTCAATGGTCATATAAAAGGAAAAATGGATATTTTCATAAAATTCTTAAAAATAATTGGGATAAAGTAAAACAACAAATAAAATTCCGGTTTTTGGTACTTTTTTTCTGCTTAATGCCTGTAAAATCAGAAAGTTTGAAAATAAGTTTGCAAACCATCGATTTACGAATATTCATCAACAGTTTTACTAAGCGATACTGTACAACATTTTTACTATTCAGGAATCTCACTGAGCCATTTGGAAGTTTTCAAAATTATTGGTAAACCTAATATACTGTGGTACATACCACCGGTATTCTATAGTGATAATTTTAGTATTTACCTTCCACTAAATTAAGTTAGCAATATCTGTACAGACGTGTTATCACACAACATGACACACCAAATCCTTGTATAATTTGATAAACTGTTCCTTACTTATTGCCGCACTGGTACTCTGTGGTACATTAGGATTTTATCCACAGAATGTCCGATTTAAAAAAATAATAGAATCTGCCAAATCTAACCCCAGGACCCCACAGGAAGGAAAATATAATGAAAAACTATACTAAAAAATATTTAACAGGCTATGTTATACGCATTTGACAAAAGATATGGAACATGTAAATTTGTGTGGTATTCTGTGGTACATACACCTGTATGACAAGTTGAACGTTTAAGCATTTAAAAAACTACAGCAAGAATTCCAAAACACAATTCATGAGTTAATTAAGAGATAGAAAACATTTTCCGTGTTTCTATAGAGTTATAGAAACACGCGTGAAAGTTTGGGAGAAACGAGAAATTGCGTGGGAACACGAGCACCAAGTGCGAGTGTTTCCACGCAATTTCGAGTTTCTTCCAAACTTTCACAAGTAGCCTTTTAAAAACAATAGAAAAGATAAATTTATTGATTTTAATTGCTTTCATTCAAATATTAATTCCACCTTAATATACTACGTTCGTGTAAAGAATAATTGTAAAAGCATAGCGAAGTAACAAGTTACAAGTATATCGCTGTCAAAACATCTTACCTTGGACTTGGTAAACAGTCAAACAGATACAACGTGTGCTATAAATATTATACTTTGTGCTTTAGGTCTTCGCTTTCTAAGTTAGCAAAGTGTTGCCTTTTTTTGTAACGGTTCTTCGGCGTTTTCGAACGTTTTTCAACTTTTTTTCAAAATTAAATATTGTTTGTATTTTGTCTTTTAAACTCCCGCGCAATCCACGCAACCCGCGTGAAAATTCCCCGTGTTTCTATCGAGTTATAGAAACACGGGTTTTTTGAGCTTTTGACCAATCAGCGACTGTGTTTTTAAAAGGCTATTTTATAATACAATATATCAAGTAATTGACTAACCTGCTATTCTTAATAGAGAAAAACAATGAACAGCGTGTATGCATAATACACGAGAAATTACAGGCCTTAAAATATCTTTTCCAGGGCCGTCTGACAAAATGTCCGGTGACGTTGAGTTTGGGTCGGACATATGTCCGATGACCTTCAGTTCAGTTTTGACTCGGAAATAAGTCTGAATGACACAGATGAATAAACGGTAAATGTTGTAAAGATATTAAATAATTTGTTTCTTTCATACTTATTTCCAAGCCAAAATTAACTTGCTTGCCAGAACAGCAGTATTAAAAATGACTTCGACAACTTAAGCCCGTTTTCCACTTCACCATTTCACTCGCCGCCCCGCGCTCGACTACATTAAAACAACATTTCCAGTTCACCTTTTATGCAATAGTACTCTGATTTTCCATTTAACATACAAGCCTCTAGTCCTGGTCTAGGGTACATTTTGATTTACGTCGGACAAAGCTACAGTTCGGTCGGACACCAATACACTCGGGTCGGACAAACAATAAACCTCAGTTTCACTTTGGTCGGACAGAATGTCCGGTGGTTTCCTTTCTACGTCGGACAATTTCACGAATGGGTCGGACAATGTCCGTGACCGACCGATATTTTAAGGCCTGATGATGTCTGAAGTTCAGCAAGTATTGCTTATATTGCTGTATATATGGCGTCACTTTTATAGCATCATTAATAATTGTATTTTAATTGACAATTTTAGAATTATCTTTCTCCAGCGCAAATGCATTTGAAAAGGTAGCTATAGTACAAACTAGTAAATAAAGCCAAAACGAAGTAATTTTGAGAGGAACGCCAAAACGATTTTAGGTTTTGAACACTTTTCATCGCAAATATGGGACATTGAAAAAAATTGCCTCTACACCATAATGATTGCCAATACCTGAATGACAACAGATGCAAGCAAAGGCAGTTTTTCCCAGACCCAGCCGTCAAAATCTTGACCGGGACTTTCCTGGACATTCTCCTGACGTTTTCTTTGCTGCGAGTATCGCTTCCTCTTCTTACGAGGATGTGAAGGTGATATGTGACCTTGAATAGAAAACATGCTCACGTAAGCTTCGCATGGGGTTTGGGTCGATTCCCGCAATATCCTGCAATATGCAGATAATTATCTGGTCATATTTTCGGCTCATTCCCGTGTGAGGAAAGTGCTTCCAGTCTAACTCTAAAGGTCCATTTCCACTCAAGAAAAAGTTCTACGGACAGAAAATTTTCCGAAAATATCATTGCTAAAAGTTGAAAATTTTCAGCTTCAAAACTTTTTTACGACGGAAAATTTGTGTCAATCACATTTTACAAATTCTGCCGAAAATTTTCCTGAGTGAAAAATCCATTTGTATTGATGTAGTATTATCAGTCTTCATACCTCTTGCATAGCTTTTCTTTCTGGGTGTAACCGCTGACACAGATCTACTGACGGCTTTTCTCGACTGCTTACCACGTGACGAGGCATCGACCACAGGGGACATACGTGGATAATAGGCGAGCCATGTGAACAGTACGGGATCCAGGTTGATAACAGTACCATTGCACTTCAACAAAATGGCGCCACTACTTTGAGGGCGAGTTTCTAAGAGGGAACACAATGAAAGGAAGATATACAGTACGTCGATATTGCAAATTGCCGTTTCTGCCTTCTGGTAATGTTTCAAATATTTCAAAAATACATTAATAATTCATGAAGAAATACACAAAGATCAAAGTATCGTATCTTTACATGTGATAGAGATTCCCCTTGATTAACATGAACTTTAACCTTGTTTTCTCGACTTACACAACGTACTAAATCGATCATTTTTGAAGCAATTTAAAACATTCGCAGTGCGTGTTTCATCAGACCTAGAGGTAAAGATACTCGGCTTCACCACGTATCTTTATATCTGATAAAACACTGCTGCCTCACGTTTTAAGTACTATTTAAAGCACGCGTAGGAGTGTTTTATCAGATATAAAACGCGAGGAGAAGCCGAGCGTTTTATATCTGATAAAACACGACTACAAGTGCTTTTAATGGCTTAAAAAACGACCCATCTTCTGATGAGTACACTAGCGAAGTAATGTTTAAAATAAACTTTGTCTAAACCGAGAAAATCAAAGCTAAAGTTTATGTAAATTAACATGATTTTTTATCACATATAAAGATACGACACGCTTATGATTTTTCTTTGTGTTTTCCTCCTGAATTATTGAGTTTTTTAAATAGTGGATAAAGAAACAAACCTGTCAGGTTTCCGTCTTTGGCAATCAGTGGTATTTTTACAGTAAATGCCAGCCATGGTTCAAGTGTTTTCACCCTAAAACTTCTATTTTCATCGCTTTTGAAACATTCTCCATTGTAAATATCTGCCGTGATTAAAGGACCATATAGTACTGGAGTGTTCTCCGCAGTTTCGCCACCTGATACAAACAAAGTTTTCAATTAAGTACATTGGGCTATTTTGGACTATACGAGACCCAACTTCAGACAAGGCTTTTCCAAGCACAAAGTATTAAAAACTGTAATTATGTCCCAGACATGGCATGAAACATGACTATAGTATATGACTCAGTAATGTAACTTAACTATTTTTAACCCTTGCCCATAAAAAATGGTTGCCCGGAATAAAATTTACTTGCCAGCTCTAGTTTTCTAATGTTGTTGTCAATTGTTGTGTTTGTATATGCAATTTGGTACTCCAATCGTTATATTCAAAAGCCTAGCGTGCAAATTCGCATATTTGTGTTTATTCAAGTGTTATTCATGAATTCGCTATTTACATGGGAAGCGACGAGATATGACACGGTATTTTTCATGTGTACCGTGAAACTCCACTGACAAAATGAGCCTGCACAAGTGGGAGAAAATTTGCGCATTCTGACCATCGTGGTGTGTCTTCTTATTACTATTAAAGTTAACCAGCATGGCAGGCTTTCTGGGTTTGGAGGAGGGTTTGGGGAGTTAAAGTTTACCAGGCTAGCCACATGTACGCATTGCGTACCTATTTTCTAATGTTGTTGTCAATTGTTGTGTTTGTATAAGCAATTTGGTACTCCATAGTTTCAGGTTACTGAACAAATACCTTTCAAAAACCTGTGCTTTATGTCTGTATCTTACGGGCTAAGTACACCATGAGTCTTAAGGGTTGTATACCAGCTCAAGTACGCGGTAATAATCATTGGAATACCAGACAGTCAAGTTCGACTAAAAATCATGAATTATCACACAATGAGATCTCAAGTCATGAGTGACCTTTCCTGATTTTCCTGAGGCCCAAACTCTTAAAATTTCACCCAAACCTCTATTGTTTTGCTTGCAAGATTCGCAGCCCTACAAATACTTGTTTCGCTTCCAGGATTAACTACAAGCTGTTTCTGACTACACCTTCAAAGAAACAGTTTTTCCAATCATGCAGCCCTATACCCTACTCTTATTAACTTACTTAAACTCATGACGGTAGCTTTAATAGAACCAAGAGACCCC